TTGGGACGAATGTACGCGTCGTTATTACGAGAGCCACATTTGGAAAACGGCTTGCCCTCTATCTGTGAAGCTCTTGCAAATTGTGGCGCGGCGCTAAGGCGAGAGCCACATGTTGAAAACGAGCCGCGCTCCATCCGAGAATCTGTTATAAGGATTTGCTGCATCGTCATGAATCGCGAGAAAGTCTACGGCAAAACGTCCCGGCCGCCCTGCCAACACGTCTCGGGAAATTTCAGGGAGGATTTCTTTATAAGGAGAAGGGATGGAGGAGGGCTCCCCGAAGCGAGCCTTCTGGGGGCTTCTGGGGAGCATCTTGGGGTCTTTTTTGGATCTCTCGGGGGCCTTCCTGGGGTCCTCTGAGACTGTCTTGGTGCCCTCTTGGGTTGTGTTGGGGCCATCTTGGGTCATCCTGGGCCCTCGCTATCCGTCTCGAGGGTCCTTGGGTGCCCTCTTGGAGCCCTCGTGGAGTCTTCCGGCGGGCCCTCTTGGGACCCTCTTGGGCAGTCTTGGGGCTGGCCTGAGGGCCTCTTCGGCCATCTTGGGACCATCTTGGGGTCTTCGTGGGGCTCTCTTGGGAGCATCTTTGGCCGTCATGGGTTATCTTTGGGGCATGTTGTGCCGTTCTGGGCTTCAGGACGCTTGGGGAGGCGAGACCTCGAACCTCTTCCACTCCCCACAGGACAATCATCGTTTTTTGACATCTGGAGGTCCTTTTGAAGGTCCTTGTGGAGTCCTCTTGGCTTGCCTTGGGGGCCTTCTGACCGCCTTGAAGTCATCTTTGGGTGTCACGAGGCTCTCTTGGGCTGTCTTGGGCTTTTGAAGATCTTTTCGGAGCCCCCTGTGGCCGTGTCCAAGGCGTCATGGACCTCGTGGCCGTGTGGTGGCATCCCTAAGGGAATCGTGGGGCAACGTACAGCGGCCACGAATTTGAGGGACCCAGTCCGCAGATGGCTTCTCTGTGTGCCGCGGGCCCCCTGGTAGACAGTTGAGTTGGGACAGGACTGTGGAGGACAGCAGGACAACAGTGCAGCAACCACCTTCACAGCCTGGCGCTCCCTGGCGGGCCAGCGGATACAACAACCATCGGTTTTTCAAGATGTTTTGCCTCCTGGGCCAGCCGTCAGGGTCTCCAAAACTGCTCAAGCTGCGCCCGGTACGGCCGCAGGACGGGCTCAGAGACCATGTTAGGTCATGTTGGAAGTATGGAATCCCAACCAATGCCCCCGAGGCCTCGGGACAAGTCACGCGATCCGCACTGACAGTTACTCCAGCCGTCGCAGGAAATCCGCTCCTCGGACTGTACCGCAGTAGATATAGAGACCTGATGACACTCCACTCAGTGCCTACGGCACGGTGGCCGATACGAACTAGTGCACAGCAAGGCATGCGGAGCCTTTCCTGCGCAGAAGCCGTGCGCGCGCCGGCTGCGGTGCTTCGGCGTGACGATGCATCGGCGTACTGAGTGGAGGCGTGCGGCCAGGGTCGCGAGGCAACCACCTGTGGAATGGACACAACGGCAGTACAAACGACGGGGCGACGACCTACGCGAGCCAGACTTCAATCACATCACGGCAGGCCGCAGCACCTATGGCCTAGACAACGCTGATTTGTCCCAGCCGGCCTCGCATGGCGCAGCCCGGGTACAGTTCGGACAGGGTAAGTCATGCGGAGTGCGGCGTCGACATTTCATCCGCTTTCTGAAGATGGCCCCAAGCCGTCAGCAATTCTGCCATTCAACGGCCTCGCCTGCTTCGCCCTCGAAGGGAACCAGGCGAGTGCCCGCATGAACGTTCCGATCTTGTAGTATTCCTTACCCCCCTCTGCTACATCCCCCCGTACATCCCTCCCGCTCCCAATTCCCGTCCGCGTCCTCTTTCTTGTCCCCGTTCCCCCGTCTCCGTCCCCTTCCGCGCTTTCCCCTCTGTCAGCAGTCATAAGGGAGGGGAACAACTGGACTGGTGGTCGTAATGAGGGTCCCTTTCGCGCTCCGCTGGAGTCGCGCCCGGCGGTGTTCGGTCGCGCGCGGAGCTTTGGGCGGCTGGTGTAAGCAGCGCGCCGACCTCCTCTTCGGGGGTATGTCTGTGTGTGTGTGTGTGTGTGCATGTATGCATGTATGCATGTATGCATGTATGCATGTATGCATATATGAACGTATGCATGTATGCATGATTGTATGTATGTATGCATGTATGCATGTATGCATGCATGCATGTATGTATGTATGTATGTGTGTATGCAATGTGTGTAATGTATGTAATGTAATGTGTGTAATGAATATAATGTATGTATGCATGCATACATGCATGCATGTATGCATACATGTGTGTATGTATGCATGCATGCATGCATGCATGTATGTATGCATGTATGTATGTATGTATGAATGTATGTTATGTGTGTCTGTATGCATGTATGTATTTATGTATGTCTGTATGCCTGTATGCATTGTATTGTATTGTATTGCATTGTATTGTATTGTATGCATGTATGCATGTATTGATGTATGTATTTATGCATGCAGATCCGCATGAATGTATTTCTGCATGTGTGTGTTTATGCATATCGGTATGCAAGCATGAGTGTATTTATGTATGTTTGCATGCATGTCTGTAATGCATGTATGTATGTATGTACGTACGTATGTATCTATGTATGTATGTAAGTATGTGTGCTCGCATGTATGTCTGCCTGTCGGTCGGTCTGTCTGTATGCATGTGTGCATGCATGCATGCATGTATGACTGTATGTATATATACACGTGTATGTATGCATGCATGCATTCATGTATATATATATATATATATAGATGTATGCATGCATGAATGTATGCACATGTGTATGTATATGTATGTGTATATTCATATGTAGATGTATTTTTTATGTGTACATGTACATGTACATGTATATATATATATATGTACATGTATGTGTACATGTATACGTACATGTATATGTACACGTTCATGCCTATGTATATATATATGCATACACATATATGTATATGTATGTGTTCATGTACATGTACATGTACATGTCTATGTATAGGTATATACATATGTATATGTGTATGTGTATGTACATGCATATGTATGTGCACATGTATATGTAAATGTATAGGTATGTGTATTTATATGTTTGTATTCGTATTTGTAGTTAACTATGTATCTGGATATGTATATGTATATGTGGTTGTATATGTGTATATACATGCATATGTATATGTATGTGTAAATGCATATGTATTTGTATATGTATAGGCATATGTATATGTATACTCATACGTATACGTATATGTATACAGTATGTGTATGTGTATATGTATATGTATATGCATATGTATAGGTATATATATATATATATATGTATTCATGTATGCCATTATGTATCGAAGACGCCAACGGCGATTCACCGCCGCCCCTTGCCTTTTGGAACCGCCCACGCGGCCAACCGTTGGATAGAAATCTGGGCAAGCCATAGGCATATGTCTTCCACCAGCCCGTGTGGATCCCCTTCGGGGGGAACGCTGAGGAAAGTCAGAGAAAGGAGGAACAGCGTCTTGGGCCGTCTTGGAGCAAACCTGTGCGGCCTCTAGGGCCGTCTGGGAGCGTCGGGGAACCGAACAGGCGAGAACGTCAAACAACTCGAATAACTCATGGGAATCAATGATTTTGGCCTCTTGGGGCCCTGTTGGGAGGCCTCTTGGAGGCCTCTTGGGCCGTCTGAGGGCCATCTTGAGCGTCTTGGAGCGATCGTTCAGCGACTCGTGGTCCTTTCGGGCCGTCTTCGGGGCCTCTTGGAGCCCTCTTGGCCCGTCTTGGGGCCCTCTTGGGCCCCCAACAAATCATGCGAGAAGATGCCCTGGAGCTGGGGGGAACCGCGCCAAGCCCAAGAATAATTGAGAAATTGTAGTCTGGGCTCATGAAGAACCATCAGGATCGGGGACTGAGGCTCAGGGGATTGTGCAAACGACCTCAGGACACGCCCGCTCCGTGCCCAGCGGCACGGTGGCGGATTTCAAATTTTCCATCCCGTTTAAAAACGGGGTCGCCCCCGTTTTTGGCACAGCTGCGTTTTTCGAGTAACACCTCTTGCGACGCCTAGCGCAACCTTTGAGAGCTGGTAGTCATTCCGTCGAGGCGAATATTGGTAGCCTGTCAGTCGTGTTGCGAGTGGAGCTACGTAGCCTTTAGAGGAGTCTTGTTGAATGCTGAGGCACCATGGGCAGGGCCCTGACTCATCCCAGATCAGGAAAACCTCCAACTGACTCTCCAGGTGAGGGCTCTGCAGCTAAGGGCACCGCTCGCATATTGTGTTTACCTGGTTGTTAGCCAGACTGAGCACTGGGGTCAGCACGGGACGGTCTGGCATCCTGGAAAGTCTCAGCGGAACGTGTCGATTTGTTACACAACCATGATCGGCATATGCATGGTATTGTCTCGTAACCACCGGGTGACGTGGATGGTAGGAACAACGGCATAGCCGAGATCGAGGCGCAGTTTCGACGTCAGCACGGGGCGTTACGAGAGCGACGCCAGAGGGTTTGTCAAAAGTGGCGCTGAGAGGGGGCAACATTTGGGGACGTTGAGAGGAACGCAACGATCAATGACGCCGACATCGATCGACCGATTGAGTGGTTTTCCTGCCTCTCTCCTACAGTCTTGATCCATCGTCGATACTCGCCAAAAACTGGTTGAAGCCATGACAGAATCCAGACGAGTCCGAGGAGGGAGTAGGAGGAGAAGGGGGAGGAGCAGGAGGAGCAGGAGGAGGAGGAGGCGGCGGAGGCGGAGGCGGCGGCGGCGGCGGCGTCGGAGGAGGAGGAGGAGGAGGAGGAGGACGAGGACGAGGAAGAGGAGGAGGAGCCGTGAGGTGAGGAGAGGAGAGGAGAGGTGGAGGAGGAGCTCTGGGGGAGAGAGGCGCGATCTGCGACGTGGCAGTGCAACCTCCAGGCGACTTCCTGGCGAGCGAACTCCTGGCGACGCCCGCGCGCGCCATTTTTGGGTGCCCCCGACGGCCCCTCCGGCCGGGCTCCTCCCGCTGGGCCCCCTGGCCCGGGCCGCCCTTCTGCCATGTCGACCGCCCCCTGGCCGCTCTCGCGCGCGCGAGCCCTGCAGAGGCAGCGGGAGCTGGACGAGGAGGCCGCGGCGGGGGCGGGCGCGGGCCCGCAGGCGAGCGGCCCGGGGCCGGGCGGCCCGGGGCCGCCGCGGGCGAAGGAGGAGCCTCTGCGCGAGCCCAGCGGCGACGGTGGGGCAGGGGCGGCGCGCAGAGGGGGGTAGGGGGGAGGGGGGAGTGCTTCTCAGAAGCACCCCTGCTTCTTATCTATAGAAGGCGCGGGCCCTCTCTGTAGATGTAAGGCCGGCGCCTTCTAAGAAGCAGCCTGCTTCTAAGAAGCCCTTCCCCCCTCCCCCCCCCCCCCTCTGCTCGCCGCCAAGGGGCAGGGGCTGCGCGGCCAGAGCGCCCTCCGGTGCGGCCGGCCGGGGAGCCGCGGCCTGGCGAGGCGGGCCGCGCCGAGGCAGGCGGGCCCCCGGGGCGCGCCCCCGAGGCTCCGCCGGGCGTCGCCGCCGCGCCTGCGGGCGCGGGGTGCCGCGGCCGCGAGGAGGCCGTGGGCACCGGGGAGCTGCTGCGGCAGTGGTCCCTGTGCATGCTCGAGGAGGTGCTGCTCGGCTGCCAGAAGCGCTGGGCGATCGACAGGGAGGACTTCGACCTGGCGCTGCAGGTCAAGCGCTGCGAGCCTGGGGCCCGGCGGCGGCTGCGGGAGGCCCGAGCCCGCTGCTTGCTGGCGGGGCGGGCCGGGCGGGCCCCGGAGGCCCGGCCCAGCCGGCCAGCTGCCGGCCTGGCGGAGGAGGCCCCCGCGCCGAAGCGCCTGGCGTCGGAGGCACCAGTTGCGGACGAGCAAGGGGCCGCACACGCTGCGGCGAGCCTGCTGGAGGCGAGCCCTCTCTCGTCCTTGTCGTCCTCGTCGTCGTCGTCGTCGTCGCCGTCGCCGTCGTCGCCGTCGCCCTCCGAACTCGTCCTCTTGTCCCTGCAGTCCCTGCAGAGGTGTCAACATTACGGCGACAAGCAGTTGGCGATGCTCAATTTCGATCGAAAGGGTGCAGGTGCGAGCGACGAATCGACCCCAAGAGCTTGAGCAATGCCACGCTCGTTTAGACGAAGGGGGTCTCTAGCGTAAGGAGCCACAACATATCAGCAAGTGCACGGAGTCCTGCTCATCGGCATGCTGCTGCCGGTGTCTCGCGCATGTGCTCGCCCGCGCCAGCCCCTTTAGGGGGGGACACCCTCTGGGGGGCCTCCCGGCATCTTTCCCTGACCTGCCGGGTTGCACGCATGGAGAGGCCAGCTCGAAGACGCACTCTCTCCCTGGGGTCGAGGGTCATCAGCACAAACATTATCTCGTCGCCGATTAGGGAAGATCTTGGCGGTCCTGTTCGTGTCAGTACGATCAACGGCTTCTGGATATCACACATATCGCCAGAGGAGGAGGAGGAGGAGGAGGAGGAGGAGGAGGAGGAGGAGGAGGAGGAGGAGGAGGAATGCGTCGATGGTCTGCCTCCCTGAGGCCATGCAGGCGGACGCCAGGGCCCCCTCCAGAGGGGCCGCCTTCGCCCGACCGCCGCCGTGCTGACGCTGCAGAGACCCTCCTCCTCCTCCTCCTCCTCTCTCCTCCTCCTCTCCTCTCCTCTCTCCCTCCTCTCCCTCCTCTCCTCCTCCCTCCTCCTCCCTCCTCCTCATCTCCTCCTCTCCCTCTCCCCTCCTCTCCCGCCTCCTCCTCTCCTCCCTCCTCCTCCTCCTCCTCCTCCTCCTCCTCCTCCTCCCCCTCCTCCTCCTCCTCCTCCTCCTCCTCCTCCTCCTCCTCCACCTGTGCCGACCTCGTGCATCGGGGGCTCGCGGGGACACACACACACGGACTGAAAGCTCTTCCATAAGTGCTTAGGCGGGCTTCACGCGGGCCCAGAGGACTCGAGAGGCAGCGCGAGCTGCCAGAATCCGCTAGTGGCGAACTCACACATTTCCCTGAGGTTGGATCCCAATCAGGCTTGCCTCAGTGCTCCGAAAGGGCTTCGCCCTCTGCCGCCGGCCCCCTCTTGATCATAATCGGAGATGTCAGAGCTATGCTGGGACATGTCGGCGCTGCTTTGAATAACTTCAGGGGACATCATGCGCGGGCGATTGGCATTCAGCACGGACCTTGAGATGTTGGAGTTGTTGTTGAACGCTTTTTTTCATTCTCAGAGCGCGAACTTGGCGTAACTCATGAGAGATGGTTGCCTCAGGAGCGCGAGTCTGGCGTAATTTACAAGGGATTCCATCCTCGGGAGCGCGAATCTGTCGTACACTGCGAGGGATTTTGGCTTCGCGAGCGCGAACCTGGGGTAATAATTTACGAGTGACTTCAAGTCAAGCGTGCTTCAAGAAGGAATCTGGCCGCGAGGGCGCGAATTTGGTGCAACTTAGGATTCTGGCGTCGGGAGCGTGAATCTGGCGTATTTTAGGAGGAACATGGCTCCGTGACGCGAATACTATATTTTGCCCAACTCTCCCTTGGCTGGGATTTCGTTTTGAGTAGAGCACTGTGGTCTCCGTTCTTCACTCCTTCATTCTCCTTCTTCCTCCTCCTCCTCCTCCTCCTCCCCGTCCTGCTGCAGCCTTCTCCCTTCTCTCCTCCCTGCTGCTAGCCTTTCCTGGGGGCTGCGAAACTGTCGTCACTTTCGTGGGCCCCTTGGATGCCCAGCGGAGTAGTGTCCCACGCAGACCTCCATCGACCTCGCCGTCCCTGGGGGGCTACGATCTGCGAACCTGTCGCCATTTTCGTGGGCCCCTGGGAGGTCCAGCGGAGTTGTGGTCCACGCAGACCTCACTAGGTTCCGTTGTCCCTGGAGGGCTGCGATCTGCGAAGCTGTCATTACTTTCGGTTCCCTGGGAGGTCCAGAGGAGTGGTTTCCCACGCAGACAACCATAAGATTTCGCCGGGTTCCCGGGTTCCTGGTCGATCTTTTGATCGATCGGTATCACCATCGATCTCATTACCGACTTCTCGATCGATCTCAGCATCGATATCACAATCGATCTCACTATCAATCTCACAAGCGATCTCACTAGAGCTCGCATGAGCGATCTCGCGATCGATCTCACTATCGATCTCATTGAATCGATTTCACTCTCGGTCTCACGATCGACCTTACAATCGTCCTCACTATCGATTCCACTATCGATCTCATTATCGATCTCACAATCGATCTCAAGATTTATAGTGACAATTTTCAAATCATCCTCTGATCGGGGTTTTCTCAGGTGTAATTTGGACTCTGGACCTCGGATGATGCGCCTGACGAGCAGAAGTCGCCCGGTTTCTTGCAGTGTTTTCAGGTGCTTCGGCGGTTGCTGGATTGCCGTCCTCGGCGGTTGGCCTTTCCCCAGCAGGTCATGGTTCAGGAGGAGGAAAAACACACAGACACAATTAGTCGTCGATTCCCAAGATCATATGGGAAAATATGGGAAGTGGGGGGGAAGACCCCCCCAAAAAAAGATGGGGGAATATTGGGAATGTTTTTATGTGTGTGTATTTGTTTGTGTGTCCTGGGGCCCCTCCAATGGCGGCAACCCCAGTGGCCCCGCGGCCATGGCCTAGTGCTTTCCCAGTCGAGCGCGCGACCCAGGCCCTCGGCCCGGATCTGATCCTCCAGCTGGTGGAGCCTGCGACCGCGGGGGCGCTGGCAGGAGCGGCCGTGCGCGTTTGGCGTGAGGCGGCCAAACTGGATGGTTCCTCCTCGTCGTCGTCGTCGTCCTCCTCCTCCTCCTCCTCCTCCTCTTCTTCCTCCTCCTCCTCGTCCTCCTCCTCCTCCTCCTCCTCCTCTCCCTTGCTTTCTGCAGCTGGCAGGCTTACTTCCGTTCGATTCGAGGCCAGGGAATTCACCGCCGCGTTGGAAACGCTGGCTCGGTTTGTCCCGCAGCGAGCCATTCACACTTTCCCCACTAGGCTTGCGTGAAGGGGTCCTTACTTGGTTAAAGGCTGGCGCCTCGGAATGTTACCTTGCCCGTTGCTCGGAGTTTCCCTGGGTTCCCTGGGCTCCTCGGGCTCCCCGCCCCTGTGGCCTCCTATTGCTACTTCGCCCGTTTCTCCGAAGTTCCTCGGGTTCCCCAGGTTCCTCGGGCTCCGGGGTTCCCCGGGTTCCCCGTGCTCCTCGGGTTCCCCGGGTTCCCCGGATTCCCCGGGCTCTTCGGGTTCCCCAGTTCCCCGGGTTCCCCGGGTTCCTCGGGTTCCTCGGCCCCGGGTTCTCTGGGTTCCCCGGGTTCCCCACACAATGCCAAACAATGGCAAGCAATGCCAAGCAATACCATGCAATGCAAAACATGCCAGGCAGTGCCAAACAATGCCAAGCAATGCCAAGCAATGCCAAGCAATGCCAAGCACTGCAAAGCAGTGCCAAGCAATGCCGAACAACGCCAAGCACTGCGCCCATGCAATAGGAAACTGCACTTCCCCTGCTTGGGGTCGCGCGGGGTTCATCTTTTCAGGGGGAACTCCGGCCCCCGGGCCCTTTGCGCGAGTGGTTCTATTATCGACTAGACGTAAGAGTGACCTTTCGCCGGAGTGACCTTTGGTGCGGGTACAGATGGGCCCTCAGATGTCTGAACCTGGGGCTTGCGCGCCCAGGTCTGGTCTCCCCGCGGCCCCAAAAGAGCCGCGCACCAACGGTCACTCTTACCCAGGGTCACTCCTGCGTTTAGCCGATCTTATCATACAACGGGGAACCTTGCCCCCTGGCCCTGGGGGCGGCACACTTTTTCAAAACTGCCCCCCCCATCCCCGGTCCCGTTCTTAGTCCCGGAGGCAGGGAGGCAGGGAGGGAGGGAGGGAGGGAGGGAGGGAAGGAGGAGGAGGACGAGGAGGGAGAGGAGGAGGAGGAGGAGGAGGAGGAGGAGGAGGAGGAGGAGGAGAGGAGGAGGAGGAGGAGGAGGAGGAGGAGGAGGAGGAGGAGGAGGAGGAGGAGGAGGAGGACCTTGTGGGGCTGGACCCGCAGTGGGGGGGCCGCAGGTCGGACCGCCGGAGCAAGCACACAGCCGTCCCAGCGGCCCAAGTCGGCCCCGAGCCGCGCCGAAGACGGCCTCCAGGGGTTTCAGAAGGCCCCCAAGAAGGTCCAAGAAGGTCCAAGAAGGCTCTCCAAGGACCGAGAGGCCCCCAAGAAGGTCCAAGAAGGCTCTCCAAGAAGGCCCCCAAGAAGGCCCCCAAGAAGGCCCCCAAGAAGGTCCAAGCGTTCCCAAATGGACCGAGAGGCCCCCAAGAAGGTCCAAGAAGGCTCTCCAAGAGGACCTCGACGAGCGCCCCAAGAGGCCCAAATGATAGGATTTCCCATGGTTTTTGAAGGATTTTTAGAGGTCCCGACGAGGCGCCTGGAGGTTCCAAGAGGCCCCCCAAGAGGCCCCAAGATGTCTCCAGGAGGCCCGAAAGAGACCCCAAGAAACCCCAAACCAGCCCACGAGGTTCCCGAAAGGCTTCCCACGAGGTATCAACGAACACCCAGGAGGCCTCTGACACACAGCCCAGGCGCCGCGGCGGGATTGTTCCTTGGCCAATGTATATATATATATATATAGGTATATACATACATACATACAGAGACAGGAAGACAGACAGACAGACAGACAGACAGACAGACAGACAGACAGACAGACAGACAGACAGACAGACAGACAGACAGACAGACAGACAGACAGACAGACAGACAGACAGACAGACAGACAGACAGACAGACACACAGACAGACAGATAGACAGACAGATAGACAGACAGGCAGGCAGGCAGACAGGCAGACAGACAGACACACATATGTATACACATACATACATGCATGCATGCATACATACATACATATACATATACATATGCAGCATATACATATACATACATACATGCATCAATACACACATACTTACATACATACGTACATTCATAGATATAACCATGCACACTCACTCATTATGTACACACATATGTACATGTGTACATGCACAGAAGCTCCCGGCCCCGAGACACCAGGCAATGCGGAGCCAGACTCGGGCACCCCAGTCACCTTTCGATTTCTTTCAGCCCCAGGCGACGCGTCGTAGAAGCCCCCAAAGACCGCCTTCTTAACAGAACTCCCGAGTCAACGTGGCAGTACCCAACGGCAAATTGAGATCATAGGTCCTTGAACGCGGCTAGAACCTTTGCGCCAGTGGTCCTAATATCATATAACTGGGAACCTGGCCCCCGGCCGGGGGGGCGGCACATTTATTCAAAACTGCCCCCCGCCCCCCCCCTCGTCCCGTTTTTCGTCAAGGGAAGGGGTAGCGACCCTTTTCGGGGCGCTTTCGGGCTGGGCCCGCTGTTGGGGGGCTGGAGATCGGGCCCCACGGCGATCAGACAGCCGTCCAGGCGGCCCGAAGGCGGCTCCGAGCCATCCCGAAGACGACCTCCAGGGGTCGCAGACGGCCCAAAAAACTTTCCAAACGGACCAAGGGGATTCCAAGACGACGGCCCAAGAAGGCTCCAAGAGGACCCCGACGAGTGCCCCAAGAGGCCAAGATCATAGAGACCGACCCCGACGAGGCGCCTGGAGGTTCCCAAGAGGCCCCCCAAGAGGCCCCAAGGGGCCCGAGAGAGGCCCCCAAACCCCAAAACGGCCCCCAAGAGGCTTCACGGCCGCCCTCGACGAGGTTCCCGAGAGGCTTCCCACGAGGTATCAACGAACACTCAAGAGGCCTCTGACACACAAGCCCAGGCACCGTGGTGGGATGGTCCCATGTGTTCATCTCTCTCTAGATATATCTTTATGATTAGACGTACATATTTATACATATATAGTCATTTATACCTACATACATACAAACATGCATATATACACATATGTATGCACATACCTACATTTATATAAGCATGCATGTAAACACACATACATACATCCATACATGCATACATCCATATATATGTACACACGCATGCATACATACATACATGTATCTATGTATGCATATACAGGCATTCGCCCATACACACATACATACAACCATGCATACATGTATGCATACTTGTATACACATATCTACAAACGCACAACCATATAGTCACACATGCATACATGCATACACACCCTACACATACATACACACATACAACCATACATACGTGCATCCATACATGCGTACATACGCACACATACATACACATACACACACACACTTCTATATACACATGCATGCATACATGGAAACACGCATTCATACATAGTTCCTACACATACACACGTCCATCCATAAATGCAAACATCTACACACATGCTTACCTATCGAATCCTAGACATACCTAAATTCATTCACTCATACATACATACATACACACACATACATACATACATACATGCAAACATACATACACGCATACACACATACATACGTACACATACGCAAACACACAAACACACACACGCGCATACATATATACCACAACATGCACATATGAAGAATGTATACGAACGTGTACGTATATACATACACGGAAGGTCCTGGCCCCGGGACACTGGGCAATGCGGAACCAGACTCGGGTACACCAGTTTTCCTTTGACCTCCTTCAGCCCCAGACGACGCGTCGTAGAAGCCCCCAACGACCCCCTTCTTAACGGAACTCCCGAGTCAACCTGGCAGTGTCCAACGGGAATTTGCGATGATAGATCCCCGAGCGCGACTAGAACCTAAGCGCGCGCGAAGCGCGCGCGTGGCTCTAGCGAACATGTGTTCCTCGCGCGACAGAGGTCAGCTCGCGGATGTTCGTGGGGCGGTGTGGAGGGTCATTTGCACGCGTCCATTGCCTATGTTGCCTTTGAGCCCCGCTGGCACGGCACATTGTTCCCAACCCTTCTGTATGTTGGATCTTTGTTTAGAATCCGCATCGCCGCGCGTCTCCTTTTCTTTCTCCTTCTCCTCCTCCTCCCCCTCCTCCTCCTCACTCCCTCCTCCTCCCCTCCTCCTCCATCTTCCTCCCCGTCCACTATTCTCCCTCTTCGTCGTCGTCGTCGTCCTCCTCCTCCTTCTTCTCCTCCTCCGCCTCCTCCTCCTCCTCCTCCTCCTCCTCCTCCTCCTCCTCCCCCTGACATCTCACACCTGATGGCTGAATTGTCGTCTGACGACGCTTCCCTCCCCCCCGCCTCCTCTTACTCGTCTTCCTCCTCCTCCTCTTCCTCCTCCTCCTCCTCATCCTCCCCCTTCCCTTCCGCCGCCGCCGCCGCCATCGCCGCCACCGCCACCGCCGCCGCCGCTTCCTCCTCCTCCTCCTCTCCCTCCTTCTCCTCCTAATCGAACGGTGGCCTACCAACCCTTCTTGCTGCCTGCCTCACTGTTGTTTCTTTTCCGCCGCCCTGTTTGGTTCGAGTGCACGTAATTTGGCCGCCCGTATTAGCGGCGTATTCATCCCGTATTCGGTACAAAGAGCATCTCAACTTAATGTACACCCGCTTTCGTCGTCGGTGGCGGAGCTCGGGCTTCTTTCGTTACCTCTCGCCACCATGGCCCGCGCGGCACTTCCGTCATTCTTTTGTTTGTCGTTCCCCATCTTCTCCATCTTGTTCGGCAAGGATGATCCAGCTCCTCTTGCTTGCCGTATTCATCCACCTCCCGCTCGCTAGCACGAGCGACGAGGCGGATTTCTTCCAGAACAAGCACGTCATTAACAACTACAAGGAATGTGGCACCCACCCGCCTCCGCTGACTGCTTTGGAGTCGCTCTCGGTACTGCAGGACTAGCTTTCGGTTGAATATATGGCACCACCATCATCCAAGCAACAGCCCCAACCCGTGGCCCCGGGCTTCTCGCAATCTGTTGTGGGGGCCCTGGGGAACGCAGGCGGATGAGAGCGCTGAGGAGAGTGGTAATTCAGTGGAATGTTCGGCATTTGTCATATCTCCAAGGGGCAGTGAAATAGGTCCAGGACTACCTGTCTTCGACCTCTTGGTGCGCGACATATCGCCGCGCCCGCCGATTCTCTTCAGACGGGCACGACCAGTTTTCGATGCGCACTCTTCTGGACTATCGTGCAGTTCGCGGTGCTCAGTACAGTGACGACACGACGTACGAGGGGCATTCTCGCAGTTACGTTTCGGGTTGTCCCCGGTGCGGTGACAGCCGCAACGATGCGACAGACAACAATGCCCAACACGCTGACGAAGAGGAACGCATTTGGGGCATGGACCCACGACGGCTCCCAGGGACATGGTCAGAGCAACGCCGTCGGTGTGCTTCCAGCCTCCAGCACCTCCTTGACCTATGGAGGGACCTCCGCTTTGGATTGAGGGCCATCGGAGTGGGCATGGTTGCCTTGGCCAGATGCCTCACCTGCATGGACGCCGGTGGCGACGACAGCAGCGTGCGGCACCTCCGCAAGTGCGTGCTCGAGCAGCAATCCCGGGTTCCCTGTCAACGACGGGCGCGGGAGGCGATGATTTGATCAGTGGCGAATTCGGACCTCGGCGAGTTTCGATAGGCGGCCTCCGTCTCGTCCCGTTTAATAGGCATGACCCGAAATGCGTGGGCGAGTGGCCGCCAGCTGTCCTCATGCAGGCAGGTGCCGTCAACGGCAATCCAGTGCCGCCGATGGTTGTCCAGATGTTCAGCCTGGCCGACGGTTGGGGCCAATTGGGCGTTTCAGCATTGATGAACTTCAATCGACGGCCGCAGGAACGCGCAGATAACCTCCTCGCGTGTTTCGACATCCTCCGCAACCGCGCCCAGCAAGCTGGTCAACTCGTGATCGGCAGCGAGGGTCTCAGCTTCCTCCTCTTGCGCGCAGTACGCGCGTCGAGCGTGCATCTGCCATGATCTTGCAGCGCTGCAACATGGCCTACCTACCAAAGAAGCACGACTCGCACACATGACGGGGCAATTGTGACGCTTTGGGCACATGAGGAGGGTCGCATGGCAATCTCGCCTCAGTGGTGCATTCAGCCCGCAGTACACCTTCCTTACGGGTGCGCCCGCGCAAGATCATGCTCAGAGTGTCTAGGGCGCTACAGCCGATTCGAGCTGGGACGGCCTGGGTCCATCAGAACTCGGGGCGGCTCCGAGCCTACTTGCGCCGGCACCGTCAGCGCAGGGGGCAGTCCCTGCAGCTGCCATCGGCTCAGGCACCGACCTCGACATCATCAGTTCATTCGGCGAAGGAGAGATAGCCGCCGACGACCATGAGTTACGCGATTTTTCTGTGGAGCAGCGAGGCGCTCAATTGCGCTGGGCGTACGGGCGCGCCAAAGCATGATGGCGACGGCTCTACGACTGCAAGCCCATGCGCCGCGCCCGGAGGGACATTGAGAAGAAGAGCGATGGCCACGGCACCTCTCTCCTCTCTTCTCTCTTGTCCTCTCCTCTCCTCTCCTCTCTTTTAGTGTCTTCTCTCTCTTGTCTCCTCTTCTCTCCTCTCCGCTCCGCTCCGCTCCGTTCCGCTCCTCTCCTCTCCTCTCCTGTCCTCTCCTGTCCTCTCCTCTCTTTTCCTCTCCTCCCCTCTCCCCTCCTGATGCCCACTTCGGTTTTTAGCGTCCTCCAGCCCATTTCGGCACGCCCCTTACACGTTTCGTGGCTCCACATAGGGGCCCCGCCGAACCCCCAGGAAGAGGGCGTTCGCATAGAGCCCCCCAGCTCATTGCAGCACACCCCTCACACCTCTCGTGGTGACAAAGTGGGGTTTCAGGGAAACCTCCAACAGAGGGGGTCCTATAGCGTACCCCTGCCCATGTCGGCCTGCGCCTCGCACGTTTCGCGGTTCCGCAAAGAGCTCCACCGAAACACCCAAAAGGGGAGGTTTCGCATAACGTCCCCCAGCCCAGTTAGGCACGCCCACCACATCCTTCGTGGCCCCATTGGGAGCTCACTGCTTCTACCCACCAGCCATGCAGTGTTCACCATTGAACATGGCTGGATGTATCGCAAGTTTTAGGTGCGATTGTGGCACTAGGGTGGGGGCTGGTGTACGCAGCTAATGGTTGACGAGGTGGGGAGGCCCCAACCGGACAGCTCTTGGCTTTCTACAGGCTTCAACGTGCCAGGGGGCACGGTGGCGGATTTGACGAAGATCTTGGGCATGCATTTATCGATGGCTGGTCGAATTCTTTGCCTGGTTGCGTCCACACATGCGTGTAGGGGCCGCGATTCGCCGCACAACTGCTGCGTTTGCGACTGCGACCTTTAGTCATATGTTGTGTTTGGTATTTTTTGGGTAAAGTTGTCCAGATGCACATCTAACCGTATTTCCGTTGGTGACTCACCACCACTTATTGTGTTGATTCGCGCGCTGCTGCGCGAAATGGGTCATTTAGTTTTTTTTTTTTTTTTTGTTTTCCCCCCCCCCCTCCCCCAATTTTTCTTCTTTTTCTTCGTCTCCTCGCTTGCGTCAGTAAGGCTGGTTTTATTCGCGCGTTGCTGCGCGAAATGGATCAGATAGTTTTTTTTCAAATTATTGTTTTTTTTTTATTTTTCTTCTTCTTCTTATTCTTCGTTTCCTCGTTTGCGTCAGTAAGGCTGGTTCGGGACGGGTGAGTGGATTTTCGGCTGTCTGTGGTGGTTTCGCCCCCCCCCCCCCCCTTCCCCCCCCAACCGATTATTGGAGAAGCCTTGCGGCTGGTTCCGCCGACCCTGAAGCGGGATCAGGAGGCCCCGGGAAGGCTGCGATGGAGCCGAGGAGTGCACGACGGCAGGCCGACGATTACCAGAACGGCTTGAATATAATCTCGAGGCTGAATCAGATACAGAACAACGTGCCACCTTTAATCGAAGACGCCTACGGCGAATCACCGCCGCCCCCTGCCTTTTTGGAAGCGCCTATGTGGCCGAACGTTGAGGCCAGACCTGCCAAGCTATCGGACCACGTTTCCCCGAATCGGTTTGGAAAGAACACGTGGGCATCTTGAAGGTCATCTTGGCCGTCTTGGAGGCCTCTTGGGCAAGCTTTGGGCGATCTTTGGGGTTTTTTGGGCCGTCTCGGGCCAGCTTCGAGCCAACTTCGGCCATCTTGGTGGGTTCCTGGCACGTCTGAAGCCGTCGGAAGCCGTTTGGGGGGCCTCTATGGGCCGACTTGGGGCCCGCTTGGAATGCTCCAGGGCCGTCTTGGAGGCCATCTTGGGCGTCTGGGAGGCCATCTTGGGCGTGTTGGAGGCCTCTTGGGCCCTCTTGGGGCCCTCTAGGGGCCATCTTGGAGGCCACTTGGGCCATCATGGGGCTCTCTTGGGGGCCTCTTGGGCGATCTTGGGGGCTTCTTGGGCCGTCTTGAGCCGTCGGAGAGCCGAAAAGGCGCAAATGCCAAAATCCTTCAAAAACCAAGGGAAAATCAATGATTTTGGCCTCTTCGGACTCTCCTGGAGGACCTCTTGGAGGCCTCTTGGGCCGTCTGGGAGGCCTCTGGGGGGCCTCTTGGGCCGTCTTGGGCCGTCTTGGACTCTCTTGGGCCGTTTTGGAGGCCGTCTTGGACCGTCTTGGAGGCAT